GACCATTTAAGGCCTATGTACCAATAAAATCGGTCTCACTTTATTCTAAGTAGACAAATTTCAACACAACATACACCACGATAGCAGGGACAAAATGAACTGGGAGAATAATATAGAGTGACGTAAGAAAGAGAACGGGAACATAACATAACACGCAGTTCTTGCAGCACAGAAACATGACACGCACTTAGTTGCCACTTGCCAAATATCTTATATTGTTTAAGTAGGCCAGACTTGTTCCGTTGAGCACACTGCCTCAGAGACTTTGAGAACCCGACACATGTAAATGTCACATGCAGACTTACCTCAAACCTAAAACTTCTGGAATTGTGAATTTCCGGACTTATGATCCCATTAAATTAACGGCCATTACACACACGCTCCAGAATTACGACTCGAAACTCGACTTTGGGGTTTAAGGCAGTCTCTTCAGAAATCCCAAGGGCCCAGCGACCACTCTGAACATAACCCAGCAAATGTGGAGGAGGCAGAACATTCAGCAGCGATGTGATAACGTCCACGGTAACCTGTGTTAGTGTTTGGGGTGCTGGTTTCAATTCCCGATAGCAGCACGAAATTTAAATTTATTTTTAAGAATTTTCGAATGAAAATTCAATGAACTTTAAACTATTTTTTTTGCTAGTGGGGTGGGACTAAGTCCCTTGTACTGCGGCCACTTCTGGCCTATTGTATCAGCCCCAGATGATAGGTGAGGGTGATTGTGGAGCAATTGGTGGAATGAAGATTGGCAGGGGAAACCGAAGTACTCGGAGAAAACCTGCCCCAGCGCCACTTTGTCCACCACAAATCCCACTTGACCACACCCGGGATCGAACCCGGGCCGCCGCGGTGGGAAGCCAGCGACTAACCGCTTGAGCTATGGCGCGGCCCTAGAGCTTTAAACTAACTTCATGGAGCTGAACCCTTCTTGAAAAGCCGCCAATTGTGCAGGTACTCACAAAATTCCTAAAATTTAATGGAACCAGAAAGTTCATTACCGTGTTCACAACAGCATTACACTGGTTCCTATCCTGAGCCACATCAGTCCAGTCCGTACCACTCCATCCTATCTCTCTAAGATCCCTTTTAATATTATCCACTCACCTAAGTCTGGGTCTTCCCATTGATCTCTTTCCTTCTGGCGTTCCCACCAGTATCTTACATGTAGTCCTCCCCCATTCGCGCTACATGCTCTGCCCATCTCTTCCTCCTTGACTTGATCATTCTAATTATACTTGGAGAAGAGTACAACTTATGAAGTTCCTCATTATGCAGCTTTCTCCAATCTCCCGTTAAACTAGGTTTCGATAAGTCTGTTGGACTTGAGGCTGTCATATCGGTGATTATGGGCGGTGCAAACTTCTGAGATGTACTCGTACAGGATGAGCAAGGGCATTAATACTTGTCTCTATTCCTTGCTTGGCTTGCCAACCCTAAAATTGACGGAAGTACTTTTCTCCGAAACGTCGGTGGATATCTATAGCATTAAACGAAGTTACATTCCATAAGACCTCACACTTCGCAGTTTGTAGCACATTGCCACGACGTTTCAATAAATCGTCATTGCTTTTGACCCAGCGTTCTACTAGCAGACAATTCAGGTCTCCGAAGCCGAAGACTTCCTGGAGACTCGATACGGAAATAACGTGCGCCCCCAAATATGGACCCCCACAGCTGCGACTCATTACAACAAACTTACAGACGTTTCGGCATAAAGTTACAGAGCATCGTATTTTTATCGGGATCTCATGTCTCTTGAGCCAGATTTGAACCCGTGACTTTAAATATACGAAACAAGAAACTTGTCCCCTCCACAGTAATTTTCGGTCCATCTCTCTGTTAATCATCTTCACTTGCTACGTCGTTGTTAAATAGGCCTAACCTATAGTAATATACTCCCGTGATCGAACAGTTTGGAGTAGTGGTAAACATCTGGATTTCTTTTTAGGAAGTTCGCGGTTCGAATATCGTCCTGGACATCGTATAATTCTGATTTAGGTTTTCATGGTTTTCCTCCGTCCCTCCAAGTAAATGTCAGGATAGTAGCTTCATCAAGCCATAATCGTTTTCTTCAAAATCTTTTCCAGTTCGTCATTATTCAGTCATGCCCTCAGATATTATATAGTTGAGAGAGTGAGAGCCACAAGAAATGCAAGGCGATTCTAAATTATTGTCGGAGTTTCCGTGGCCTATAAACAGAAAACTAATTAAGGAAAATGAAAATATAACAAAGAAGTTTTATTACTTATAAAATCAATACTGCAGAATGCTAGACAAATTCAATATGCGTACCTTTCACTGCACGTAAGATGTCCAATATTCCTGGTTTCGCTCAACATCTTCCTGCGAAGTGTTTGGTCTTCGCGTTCCTTTTCGGGGCAGAACACTCCTCCCCCCCTTGGCACTACAGCCCCACTCGGCCTATTCCTACCTCCATGAACTCCGTTCACTTCGGTTTTTCTAGATCTTACACATTCGGTAGGACTCCTTGGGGGGGTGATCAGCTCGTCGCAAAGCCTCTACCTGTAGACAAACACAGAAAAACGCACACAAACATCCATGCCCTGAGTGGGATTGGAACCCACGATCCCGGCTTCCGAGCGAGCGAAGACAGTGCATGCCTTAGACCGCTCGGCTACCGTGACCGGCCCAGAACACTCCCAGTTTCTTGAAACTGCTTTAATCAACGTCGGATTGCATTAGCTGACAGTGGATCTTTTCCATATTGAGTGCTGTAACGAAGTTACATTTTGATAACGGATTTGTTCGGAAAAACCGAACTACAAATACGTACATTGCGTTCTCTTCAACAGTCGTCATTTTGACGTATGATGTCATATTTTCTCCCAGACATCAATGCGGCTAGTACAGCGTTGCCACATAAAACTTTTTGAGATACATTTTCATATTCCGTAATCAGTTTTATTTTATTTTTTCCGATTTCAAAATTATCGACAACGCAAAGCACGACAATAATTTAGAATAACTGGATATATTCTTATAGGAGTCTGACAATGAATACCGCCTCTGGTATCAGAGTGACCTGCTGTCTGTTGTGGTATGTGATTGATGGATGTTACAATGTGAGGAAACAAACCCGATTCTAATCTCACGAAACGTGGCTTAATTTCGTGGTTAAATTTCGCCTGCATATCGCAACTCTGGGAAGGCTACATCACACAGACTGAAGCCCGCATTGTGCTCCTCCAGAGCCCTGATTACAACTGAATGGATGAAGTCAGGAGCACTTCAAGGAATGTGAGATAACACGATGATTGATTCGAACAGCGTCTCTCAAAGGATAGCTTTCATTTCTGAATGCGTTTTCTTGTCTGAAAGAAAACTCAAAGCACCCATTGCAGAGATTTGTAATATGGGCAAGTCTTCCTACAAACAAAGGCAGCCGCTTCATACCAAGAACTCACAACAATGCTAATTGTAACATCGAAGAACAAGAATAAGGGCAATAAATGTATGATAATAAAAAGATAGGAACGATATAAACGAGGAGAAAGATAACGTGGAGAAACATTAAAAACAGAACATTGTTACGAAGAATGCAAAATGACGAAGAAAAGAAGAGATGTACAGAAGGGGAAAAGGGAAAATATTACAGCTTGTAGACCCGTTGCTAGGTAATGGCTCGTATACAAGCAAGAGAGGAACACGTCACGACCGCGGTAACGTCACACAACAATATAAGGGCTGCAAGAAGAGAGTAGTTTTCTCTGCGGTTCGTGCCGAGATGTTACAAGTAGGACAAATCTAAGGTTTAGTTAGTTGTGAGGCAGTCGCCCGCCAGTATGAACTTAACACGGGGGCTAAGGAAGCTACGGCGTTGGAAGCCGTTACCAAGCCACGATCTGCGAAGAAACAGCAGACTGAGAAGAAGTAGTGGGTGCTGTAGTAAACTGCAGAGTGTGTAAATTAGCAATAGAAGCTACTTGCAGTTACGACGTATAAAATTTCAGTAAATTAAATTACCAATACAAACCCCGTTTATAGTCATTTAATCACGTGACTATATGACTAAGGTTAAGCTGGAGGAAGAGAAAAAAGAAACAAGATGTTGACGAAGAGATGGGATTAAAGGATAATAAGAAAATATATGTAGATATAAGAACAACACAAGAAAGACTGGGCGTGAGGGAATGAAGAAAATTAGATGAAGAAGGAAGAGAAAAGAATGCAAATAATTGAAGCAGATGCTTAGGAATAAAGCTGATAATAAAGATGATGATAATTGTAATAACAACAAGATTATCAGTTAATTTAGTTTACTAGGCGGGTACGAAATCTTCACTTAGTCTAATATAAATTCAACGACGTTTCGGGGGAATATATTGCCTTCTTTCTCAAGGTCGAAGAGTAATCTGAGTTTAGGTTCCTGCCTGCTTCTAGATGGTTACTTCATTCACTTACATTTCAAATCTGAGGAAGACGAGAGTATATTCCTCCGAAATGTCCATGAATTACCGAATACACTGCGAAACATCCCAGAAAGTACGAGTAATACTCTTCAACACGTTTCATCCTTTTCCTATCTTTATCTTGTCCTTCATTTTCCACTTCTGTCCTCCTTTCCTTCTTATTCATTTCTTGAGGAATTCTGAGATGCAACGCCGTGAAGTGTTCAAAACAAACGGCTTTCAGCTAGCTTTTGCTGGCTTCTTGCTTAGCTCAGTCTTCAACGTTAAAGACTGAGGCAATATGTTCTTCTGAAACGTCGAGATTTCTCATAATTACACGCTGTTACAAAACAGAAGTCCCTACTCTTCGAAGTTACCATAGTACGAACATCATATCCAATTTTTGATCTTCCTATTTATACTCCCTTTTTGTATTTTTTTTTACTCCCTTTCCTTTCCAACCTTTATTTCTTACACTTCCTTCCCCCCTTCAGCACTTTCATTGTCTTGATCCACACAGTTACAGTCCCCACATTTGGAAATATCCACTTGTTGCCCGCCTGCATGCCAAGTGTCGCTACTGTCCGACAGGTGGTAGCAGTGGTGTCCGTGTTCTTCATCTGCGTCTCGGTGCTGTCCTTCTGCCTCAAGACTCACCCCAACATGCGAGTTCCTGTGATTCGGAATGTCACAGTCAACGTCAGCCAGGACTCTAGAGGTCTGCAGTACTCGTGGACGCTGGACAAGGAGAGGACTGACCCACATGAAGCTTTCTTTTACCTCGAACTCGTCTGCAACGCCTGGTTCACGTTTGAGCTCGCTGTAAGATCAGTGGTAAGTCAAGTTCCATCGACACAACACAGGAAACTTAGGCGTAGCGAGCCTTCACAATTACGCAATACTTCCCACACAACATAATAAAGATTTTAAATTATTTTGAACAAAGCAGTAGATCAAATCATATACTCCATCTGCTATGGGAATAAGTATGCGTCGTTGTCAGTTAGTGACGTAGACCGTTACGTCATCATTATAAAACTACTAGGTTCTGTTATCGACCCCCATCCGATATTTATAAGCCAATAGGGAATTGAAACATATTTACGAGAGATTTTTCTACCGTAAGGTAGCCTACACGATGTATGGCACATCCTCCTTCGTAGAGCGGGTGGACTTTAACAGTATAAGCGTTACATCTGTTGTGGTGGAAATTTCATTACTTGATACCAGAAAACTGAGTCATGATTTTATAACTATTATAAATAGTGTGCAGATATTATTACTCAGTTTGCGTAAGTTTATTTCTATACTTTCATGGTGATGAAAATTTATATTACGGTATTTTGCTTTATAACACCGGCTACTTTAATATATGTATTTTCCAGAATTCTGCGGAATTACGCTACCGCGTTGATTACGAAGGTCTCTTTTTCCTCCAGAAATTTCACAACCTTCTGCCAGACAACAGAGTGGCATACCCTGTGGCATACAACACTCTCATAGTTTGATTTGGTTCATCCTGCTCCGTCACACTGTTAATATTATAAAAGATTATCAGCTTCGTCCAGTGTGACTGATAATTTTTTTCCTCTTTCCTTTTTAATCTTTCAGCATACGTCCCCCTTTAATTTCTACTGTCGCCATACCCTATCGGTACTGGTGCTCGCTATTTCCCCTTTCTGCCAGCGAGGTCGGCCCTCTTCTGGCAGTGGTACCCGATAACTTCCCCATCTACCGGAGGCATTGGAAACTACTTGGGCGGGAAACTTTTTGCCTAATTTTGCTCAGAGGTCTCCTAGAGACATGAGGATATTTTACGTGCCGTAAATCTACGACACGGGACCCACGGCTTAAAAAGTCCCTCCAGGAGAACTTGCTCCCTGAATTTTTCCGCCCTTAAAAATTCCACGACCTCCGCCGTGTTTGAACCCGCGTACCTTCCGTCATGAGTGGGAACGTTACCCCTAGACTACGGAGGCAGCTCAGAATTGCATTTTGATAATACTGTATGTATATATTGATAATGAACAAACACATTGTAATAGTAGTTTCCGTCTGTATTGATATATCCTTCTCAAGATGGTCGCTCCAACCGAAAGATGCCAAGGAAGAAAGATTAAAAAGGAGAGAGAACAAATTTTCAGTCACACTGGGCATTATAATCTGATGGTGTTTCGAAGGACATATAATTTGACAATGGGGGCACGCGATAGTATAGTGGTTGATGCACTGTGCTTCAAGCAGGAAGGTCGCGGGTTAGATACCCTATGAGATCATTGGATTTTCAATTGACCCAACCCTTCCAGCTGCAGATCGGGACTGGGGTCGTCACAGTCTCTAACAGAAATGAGTACCAGGAATATTCCTGGGGTTAAAGTGCGGCTGGCGTGTAAGGCTGACAACATTACCGCCAACTGTAAGCTAATTGTCTAGAAAATGTGGGACGTCTCACAACCCTATGGGCCTTCACGGCGTGTTACAGGGATAGTTTTACCTTTATCATCTGGAAATAACATAAGCCAACTTAGATGTATGTGTGAGTTACAGTGAAGGTTTGGATTTCAGGTCAGTCCTAACCTGATGCAGTTCGTGAAATCGCCAGTGAACGTGATCGACTTCGTAGCTACCCTGAGCTTCTACACGGACATCTTGCTGCAAAGCAGTGTGGCCCACCGCATAGACAAAGCAGACATCCTCGAGTTCTTCTCCATCATAAGGATACTGAGACTGTTCAAGCTCACTCGCCATTCGCCAGGTCTCAAGATACTCATTCACACATTCAAGGCCTCAGCCAAGGAACTCACGCTTCTTGTCTTCTTCCTCGTCCTCGGCATTGTTGTGTTTGCCAGCCTGGTTTACTATGCGGAGCGGCTCCAGGTATTTCATTACAAATAAATCTACTTATTAATACGGGAGAGCGTACTCGGTAAAGCGACTGGCTAGGGACTGGACGTCGTCCAGACGTGTTAAATATGACAGTAAATTGTCCGTTGGCAGCGCCATAGCTCAAGCGGTTAATCGCTGGCTCACCACCGCGTCGGCCTGGGTTCGATCCCGGCTCCGGTCAAGTGGGATTTGTGGTGGACAAAGTGGCGCTGGGGCGGGTTTTCGGCTAATACTTCGGTTTTCCCCTGCAAATCTTTATTCCACAAAATTCTCCATCATCATAATCACCCCGAACAGACTACAATAGACTAATCAGTGGCCGACGTGCCGAGTGGACCCAGTTGGACTTCACCCCCACTAAGCGAATTTAAAAGAAAATGTCCGTTTGAACTACAGGAACTAGCAATGAGATTACAGTGACCTAGTTTACAATATTTACAACAGATGACACTGCCTTCCACTTTGAAACCTGACCCATGTATTTGCCTAATAATTTAAACACGCTCGGAGTAGCCGCAAGGCAATAAAACAAGTTACAGCAGCGCCTGGATAAAACAAACGACTGCTACCGGCCATACATTCCGATCGTGTACCTGACACTCTCTACCGATTCATGTCGTGTGGCTTGAATCCCCTGGCTACGACCTTTGACTAATTCAAACGAGAAACCTAAAACTGAACTGAAAGCTGAGCTCTTGTATCAGTCCGCGCCAATGTGTTAAACACGGCTGGTTTCAGATACTTTTTTGCTTCTTCGTTCCGTGTAATAACGCAGTGTTTTACTTATGAAAATAAAAACAGATGAGGCTCTACGTGATATTGCTCAATTTTATAAGGATATTAATTTTTGAAATGCTATTTATTACCATTATAAAGTGGTACATATTAGCGGTGTTGAACCTTCGGGTTCTGCTAGCAGAGTCAGTTAATTAGTAAGATGGATCTTAGGGAAACAGGTTGTGAGGATGGGAGCCGGATGGAACTGGCTCAGGATCGTGTCTAATGCCGGGCTCTGGTATTAGCGGTGTTGAACCCTCGGGTTCTCCTGCCAGAGAGTCAGTTGATTAGTAAGAGGGATCTTAGGGAAACAGACTGTGAGGGTGTGAGGTGGATGGAACTGGCTCGGGACAGTTCCACTTTTATTTATGTTTAACTCACAGATTGTGTTAGCATAGAATACGCTCACCAAATCAATAGAGAAGAGTTATGAAGTCCAGTTAACCAAGAACCTTGCTCAGTGAAGTACATGTTTCCTCTGCATGACACTGGGTGGCTGCCAGCAGATGCACGAACTATGCAGACATAAGTGCCTGCCTGCCTGCCTGCCTACCAGACTGCACTATACCGCATAGGAACAAAGTATGAAATCTGTTTTCACGCTGTCTTATGAACGAAATGTAGGGGGGAGAACCAGTTTCTGAGTGGGACAATGCGCAGCGCATTGTTACCAATTGTTACCAGTTACATATGGACAAAGCCAATGCATTTCGTTGAATTGTAGATTGAAGAATTGAGCACAGAATACCCAGAAATTAACGGTCGATTCGTTGGTGTAGTATGGGTTGGAGCTGCAAAGTGAAGGCAGAAACCTTAAGATTTTTATTACCAGAGCTTCTGCCAGCTGCCACCTAACAAACAATTGACACTGACAAGCATTGCGGATGACTGCCACGCCTGTTGTCAGGGCAACTTTCTGATAGAGAAAGATTGAGGTGTTCCTGATTCTTAACATTATATATCCTCTAGTCATGAATATAAAATCAATTAAAGAAGTTACAAAATACTTCTACTGACTGACCACAAATATCCCTTAACAACATACCTGTTGCCGTAAAAAAAAAATACTTTTACTTTCATTCACTCACTTTTTACGTCATACAAATAGCCCACGTTTTCAGAACGAACCATTCTTTGCCCTTCGAAACATGGTGATAAGTTTAGAACCAATTTCTTCTCTCATTTTTACGTTTCGTCTTCTCACACTGTCTTCCAAATTGCACGTAACAGAGTTCGAGCCCTGATAGAGTCAATGAATAATTCACTTTAAAACGAACTTGAGAATGCCCCCGTGCCCTTCTAGCTTCCAAGTCAGTGTAAAGGGGGCTATTTCTTCGGGAAAAATATGTTGGAGCCCCAAATTATAGCTATAAGATCACATCCCCATGTGCCCTCGTCTTTTGGTTTCATAGCACGGAAGAAATTTGTCATTAACTTTGATGTTGTGCCCTTCACACGAAACGTGTTCGGAACAAAGGAAGGCAAATTTACTCTCTGCGCTTCCGAAGGTGCAAAATCCCTAGCTGCATCCCTGCGTGTCCGTCCGTTACTAGAAATATTATGGTAGACTTAGTGAAATGTCTTTTTTTAATTCGCTTAGTGGGGGGTGGAGTCCAACTGTGTCCACTCGGCACGGCGGCCACTGATTGGCCTATTGTACCTGCCCGGGGTGATTATGATGATGGTGAATTTTGGTGGAATGAAGAGAGGCAGGGGAAACCGAAGTACTCGGAGAAAACCTGCCCCAGCGCCGCTTTGTCCACCACAAATCCCACAAGACCAGAACCGGGATAGAACCCGAGCCGCCGGGGTGGGAAGCCAGCGACTAACCGCTTGAGCTATGGCGTGACTTGTAATAGTATTTAAATAGTACTCTAATGCTTTATTTGTTTCTCAAGTTAATGTTTTCTTGAATCAGACAGACTTCTTATTATAGAATTCGTACGGTTTTGTATCCACAGTCCAACGTGAGTCCCTCTCTATCTTTTTCATTTTAAGTAGTGTTTCATCCGTTAGAGTGCAGGTCATGTCTGAGGAGATTTGTTCCGGTCTGAGACCGTCCTCTGGTCAGTACAGACCTTTATTTAATTTAATGCTTCGCTGGTTATTGCACGGGGAACAAGAAGAAGGACACTTGTTGCAAACTACCTGGCAACTAATTAGCTTTGAGACCTAGCCTAGGTTACTCTGTAGCAATTCAAAATAAAGCCCAAAATCTCGCAGTAAGGGTAGGATATTCACAGCTACTTGTGGTCAAATTAGGTGAATAGGTGGACAAGCCTCTCCAGACCAGTTGCATGAGAATTACTTGCTGAAAGAGCTCTTTGAAAAGTCTGGAAGAAACCACTTCAACATGGACGGAATATACGTATATTGGACCAACACCAACCTTCGGTCTACAGTTCAGAACATAACGGGATGCATCCGCTCGCTTCACTGGGCTACTTTAAGACACTCTTTCAAATTTAAGGGCATCAGAATGATATTTAAATATATGTACAATTGCTCTCTTAATACTTATTTAATATATCATAAATTTGGGTAAATATATCAACTTATTTTTTTCAATAACTCTCAATAAATTTATACACATACGATATGTTCCAAAATAAATGTCGATCAAGGGGCAACACTTCTGGCATATTCTCGAGGTTCCCAGTTCAAATTTCAGTCGGGGTTTCGACTGTACTAACAGGTTTTTCGTGGTTTTTTTCTGTCTTTGTCAGAAAGTGCTCTTATAGTACCTCAAATTAGTGAGCCAGTGCTTCATTTTACATCCTTCCAAATTCTGTGTTCACTATCATCAAATAAGTATTTGGTTCTGTATAGTCGGAGTTACCACTGCTAATATTACCTATAATTTTGCAGCGAACAAAGGTCGAATATATTTGACTGGCTACGGGCTGGACGATTGAGTGGTCGGAGTTCGAGTCCCGTAGGGTCAAGAATTTTCTCTCCACCATGTTGTCCAGACCGGCTCTGGGGTTCAACCTCCTATACAATGGGTACGGGGGGGGCCTCTTTCCCGGGGGTAAAGCGGCTGAGGCCTGAAGCTGACCACTCACCTGCAACTAGTGCCGAGGTGGATCTATACATCCTCTCCCCCATATGCCTTCATGGCGTAGAACTTGATTAGTTAAGCACAGGACAACTTCACCTTTATTTGTTTAATTTGCAAGCTTATACACGTCATCGCTTCTATGTGTTCATTTATCTAAAAGCGCTCCCAATAGATAACATCGATTGAATGATGAAAGATTATTCAACATTGAATTCGAATCGATATGGGAAGAACAAGTCTTAGAATAACACGAGACTCATTCAACACAGATTATCTCCAGTCCGGGATATGAAGCAGGGGCCTCAAGGATACGAACCAGCAATGTTACCCTGCCGAAACATTTCTGGACACACGCACACTCGAGGTCTTATTTCCTATTCTATATTTTCTATTGTCGAGTTTTGGCCTAACCGAATTTCTATTCTGGCCTTTGCCTAAATGACTAAGCAGAATCTACGAAAATGTCAGTCCCCGCAGAGTTTCGAACCGAACGCCTTCCGCCTAGCGTTTTCTCTAGACCAGTCTCTTCGTATTATGTATCCTAATTAACTAATTATTTCCATATAACTCAGTTCTTCTATAGAAGCTGCCAGTTGCGCAACTACTCAAGAACTTCCTAACGTTTTACGAAAGCAGGCGGTTCATTTCGTGTTCACAACAGCCCTCCACTCTGCCTCATCCCGAGTCAGATCAATCCAGTCCATATTAGCCCATCGTATCCCTCAAAGATCCATTTTAATATTATCCACCCACCTAAGTCTTAGTTTTACTGTTAATCTTTTTCCTTGTGGCTTTCCTACCAATATACAATATGCATTCCTCTTCTCCCCTATTCGTGCTACGTGCTCTGCCCATCTCATCCTTAGTTTCTTAATCATTCCAATTATACTCGGAGACGAATATAAGTTATGAAACTCCTCATTATGCAGTTTTCTCCAACCTCCCGTCACTTCATCTCTCTTCGGTCCAGATATTCTCCTCAGCACCCTGTTCTCAAACACCCTCAGTCTATGTTCCTCCCTTAGTGTCAGGGACCGAGGCTCTGCATGTTAGCAACCTGAATTGTTACGGCGTTCAGACGATGCAGTGCCTATAAATGTTAGCAATGTAATTCTAACATAACAAAGTGTTGAGCAATTAATGTTAGCAATATACTTGTAACGTGGCAAAATATTCATTAATAAATGTTAGCAATATAATTTTAACGTAACAAAGTTTTCAGCAATAAATATTAGTAATCTAATTCTAACATAGCACAGTTTTCAGCAATAAATGTTAACAATGCAATTTTAACTTAGCACAGTTTTCAGCAATAAACATTAGCAACGTAATTTTAACGTGACAAAGTGTCCTGCGAAGATGAACGAGCTCTCTGAACTTACCGGCAGCCAAACCCACACAACGACTTCAAAAGCATCCCTGAAGGCCTCTGGTGGGCCATTGTGACCATGACCACGGTGGGATACGGCGATATGGTGCCCAAAACTTACCTTGGCATGTTCGTTGGAGCCCTCTGTGCGCTGGCTGGTGTACTTACGATTGCACTTCCGGTTCCGGTCATCGTCTCAAACTTCTCCATGTTTTATTCTCATACTCAGGTAAGTACTTGGAATGAATTTAATAATTTTATAGTCAAAACATTATTCTGTACCCTGCTTTGACGAAAATGCGCTGTACCTCATGTGAACTAATATATGATATTATAGCTAGGCCGCGCCATAGCTCAAGCGGTTAGTCACTGGCTTCCAACAGCGGCGGCCCGGGTTCGATTCCGGTTCTGGTCATGTGGGATTTATAGTGGACAAAGTGGTGCTGGGGCAGGTTTTCTCCGAGTACTTCGGTTTCCACTGCCAATCTTCATTCCACCAATTGCTCCACAATCACCCTCACCTATTATCTGGGGCTGGTACAATAAGCCAGAAGTGGCCGCAGTACAAGGGACTTAGTCCCACCCCACTAGCAATAAAAGAAATAATATATTTGTTCAAGTTTTTATGACTAAGTTACAAATGTTCTATGAGTGAGACTTTTGTCACGCGGCAGATATCAATACGATAACCCAGTTCGTTCTGAACACCTCTCAACAGACCAGAGCACGGCACTGACAAGTTGACCAGCAAGAATTCCGATCTGACTGCCACTGATTTTTTTCTTGTGTGGTTGTGTCAAAGACAGATTTTTTGTTCCTCCACTTGCTGTAATTGTAAATGATCTAAAGTAACGCATCACAACTGTTACGTGTACTGACGAGGACATGCTCCGGTGTGTTAAAGACATATACTGAAAAACCATGTAAGTATTTTGGCTATACCAATAGTATTTCGGTTTCTATAAAACGTTGAAAGCGTCTATTTCTTTTATACTAACCTTGTATTTCCTCTATGTAATGAGTTCTGACACAAGACGTATTTATTTGCTTGGCTGCGACTATATTAATTTTCAACGTGACAGATAAAGTAAAAAATGACAATTTTCTCACTTTCAGAATGAAGAGGTGTACATGAATATCAAATAAATTTCTTCTTCGCTTTATATGCTACTTTGGCGTAAAGAAGCCATTCCTTTTGATGTAAATAATATGAAAGTAGGGAGATGTGAAATGAAAACGAGAGCGCTTAAAACTGTTACTTTTTTCCTTTACGAAGCGCTAAATTGCGATAGGAGACAAATTATTAATATTTCTGTAATTAATTCCTCAATTCCCTTTTTAGAACAACTAACTAATTGAAGAAATCAGTCTTCTGGGATGTGGCACCGTGTAGATGTGGTGTTAACCGACGTTTCGTAGGAACGTATCGCCTCCGTCTTCAGGGTAGAAAGTTCTCACGGTCTCTTCACTTGCAGATTTCTTATTTTTCCCTTCTAACCTGAAGATGGAGGCGATACTTTCCTACGAAACGTCGGTTAACACCACATCTACACGGTGCCACATCCAACAAGACTGCTTTCTTCATAGTCACCGCGGTAAAAACCTCAAATCTTACAACTAATTAACTAACAAACTGAAAACTGAAGTTCTCACAAGGTTGACTATAAAAATTAGTATATTCTGGTACCTGAAACTTGTATTTTCGTAGAACGTTGACAACGTAGTAACTTCCTAACTCAATTTTTTGGATAAAATTGTCTTTTACTCTAAAGAAGGAGATAGAAAATCCTTCCGAAACGTTGGTAATATTGTGCCAAACTACGCAATGCCAGATTTCATAAAGCACCAACTTCAACTATCCAAATCTCTCACTTTATCAAAAAATTCTTCATGTTTATAGAACACATGCGGCACATTCGTAGGAACTCATTATTTAACGCTATCTGGAGCCAGCTCAATCCAGTACACGCCCTTATAATCTGTTTCTACCAATTTCTCGTTAATAATATAGCACAGTTTTTATGATAGATAACCCAGTTTAAGTTCTCAAGAGGTGACAAGTAAGAGTACTGATTTTTTTGGATATGAAACCGTGTAGTCTGGTAGATCATTAATACTGTCTCGTTTGGACGACAGAGGCTGCACTTTCTTCCGAAACCTGGTAAAGATCTGCAGACTATACAACGTCACAGCCCAAAAGAAAGAAATACGCGCACGCCATATCGATTTGACATAGGTAAGCCAAGCGGCCTATAGGTACTTAAAATGTCAGGCGATAAAGCTGACCGCTCAACCTCATCTGGTGCAGACGTTAAGAAAGAGTACGGCTATACCTCCACTCCCCCATACATCTTCAATGTGTGATATTCAATTAATCAGCATAATTTCATAATTTCCATTACCTCAACTGCATAGTTTATTTAAGTTACATATAGTGTATGGGGTACGCGGTAGTGTGCCTGGTTGAGGCACTATGTTACAAGCCGGAAGGTCGCGGGTTCGATAACCGATAAGGTCACTGGATTTTTCAATGTGGTCTAACCCTTGTAGCCTCACTACATCCCTGGGTCCACTCAGCTACTAACAGAAATGGGTAACAGGAATTTTATTTGATTCATCATGGTGCATCACACTGGTGCTCTTGCAAGAGGCTAATCACCTCCCTCCAGTGTGACTCATAAAATGTTTTTTTCTTTCATTTTTTAATCTTTCATCCTTGACATGTTTCGGTTTTAGAGACCATCTTCAGAAGTACATATCAATGCGGGTCTAAGACCGAAACATGTCAAGGATGAAAGATTAAAAATGAAAGAAAAAAGCATTTTATCCGTCTCACTGGGCGGAGGTGATTAGCCTTTTGTAAGAGTACCAGGAACCTTGCTGGTGGTAAACGGCGGCCGGCACGTAAGGACGAAAATCACACCGCCATCTGTGAACCGATTTTCTAGTAAATGTTTGAGCCTCGATGACTCACAACCTTCTGGGCCTCTGTGGCGACTTTCATGGATAACTTTTTCTTCTATCTTTCTCTAGTCCATATGACACCCAAATAGCCGGTTATATCAGGCTTAAGCGATATATGTCCGCAGCTCTTCCGTTGCTTGGCAACCATTTAATATACAAAGTGAGCAGTGTACTGCGAAACGGAGACGAAATAATTGGAATTTGAATAAAGGGAATACCACCTCTTCCTTCTGTCATTATAAAATGGGAATTTTAAATTCCGGTACAGTCAGCCTCGTGAGGATAATTGAGTAGCTATTTCAAGGAAATAGCTGCTCCTGTCTAGAAAAATCGAAATTAACCGCCGTAGGGATTCGTTGTGCTGACCACGGGACACCCTCTATCCACTAAAGTTGACAGTAACTTCGTCGACATGCGGCGGTCGCTCGGTCAGTAAATTTTCGCTTGCGGACTCAAGCCACGGAGTTATTTTTTTTTTGTACATTATCTGCTGGGAATAAATCAGGATAATAGAAAAAATTCCGTCAGAACTTCTAAAAATTTGGTTTTTAGATGACCTTTGTACCTAAATATATCACACTTATTTTACGTGTTTTTTTTTCAGTCCCTCATGCCGGAATATTTCCACACATTAGGCTACAAACACTTCCTTCTACAACCTTTATACTATTCACTGTTCATCTTATCACATGGCGCTATATAAACTGAGCTGATGAGAGATTCCTTCAATGAAGCAAAACAAAAAAAAATCCGTGGCCTGTAGTCCGCCAGCGAACTGTACCGACCGAGCGACCGCCGCTTGTCGGCGAAGTTAGTGTCAACTTTAGCGGCCTCCGTAGTCTAGAGGTAACGTTCCCACCTCATGACTCGTGGTACGCGGGTTCAAATACCCGGCGGAGGTCGTAGAATTTTTAAGGGCGGAAAAATTCAGGGAACAAGTCCTCCGGGAGGGACTTTAAGCCGTGAGTCCCGTGTCGTAGCTTTACGGCACGTAAAAGAACCTCATATCTCCAAAGGAGGTCACTGAGCCAAATTAACGGACGTTTCCCGCCCAACAGCAGTCTCTAATACCTCTGGTAGATGGGGGAAGCATTATAGATACCTCTCAGCTAGTAGAGCCGGTCTCGCTGGCTGGGCGGGACTGATGGTAAGCACCAGTACCGGTAGGATATAGAGACTGGTAGAAATCATAGAGGGAAGCACAATGGACCAATACAGGTCTCAGTGCATAGGGAAACCCACCCTCTCCAATAACTAACTACCTAGGGAGAGAGACTTTATCTTCTTCATAATGTCTGTACCGGCTCCGGGGCCCACCCAAATTGTTAATTAATTCTTTCTGGAGGTTCTTTTATGGGATCCAAATTGGCGAGCGTGTGACTCTAACCACTCACTTTCATCTAGTGCAGGAGTTAAGAAGACCGAAGCTGCATCTTCGCTTCCCCATTCGTCCCAGTGGCGTTCTGCTTTATTAATGAAACACAGGGACATGTTTATACTCGAGTAGACTTGTGCGTAACGCAAAATGTCTTCTTTCTTAATGGAAGCGAGTTTCAAATTCTAGGCGCTAGAGACCGCTGTGTATGATACAGGGCAACAGTCATTTATTGTTCATCACAAGCTGTAGAAGAAAATGGTTGATGTTTTCCCCAAGGACATATATTCTGTAGAGAAGTTTCGAATATATTGAACAGATCACAGACTGTCAAAGCGATTCGATATTTTCTCCTGAGTGTTTCATTTTTCATAGACTTTTCAATTTCCTTATGCCCTATATTTCATTTGACGTCACAAGACATGCAGTACAAAACTTTAACCTATGACACTTATGCACCAGCAATTGTCTTAATAGACTAACACAGATATTTAACTCAGATGGTTAAGATATTACACCAATTTTATTTTCACAACCCCCCCCCTCCAAATTATAAATATTGTCACGATTTTAGTGACAGTAGACGGGGTTTGTATTTCACAACAGCTTTCAACGACTAAAACCCAGTTATCTAACTAACTCACGCCCTCCCAACGTTAGCAAAAAAATTTTACTATAATGCACCCCTTCCAGCGTCATAAAAATATATAATATATAAAAAACTCACAGTTCACTGATCTTTGTAATATATCGACACGGACATAGTAGAAAACACTGCTTCCATTATTGCTGTATTCTCCTGTTGCCATGTAATCATGCTTATTTGCGGAGCCTTTACTTAGCAACGGCTGTTGTTGTATAGTTGCTTATTTTGCGGTCGTTCCTTAATAACGGGTCACAATATTATATTTTATCATTATTTTTTTGTATAATAATCTAGTCTTTTCCATCATCATAATATTTGTGCACTTACAGTGTGTTACTACGTGTTTCGGCCTCTTTTACTCTTTGGCTAATTTAGCGAGAATGGCAGACCAGAGAAAATATGTGATTGTAAGTAAAGTTGTGTATGCCTGACGATGGCCAAAAAGGGCCAGAACTATGTATCTCCTCTCATTCCTTCAAACATAGTATTTGTATAATTACACGACAAGTTGTTTCGAAATCTTTTGCCATCATGAGGCACCAACAAATTGTCTTACTCTCATCTTTCTTCTCAGATCTGCTAGTCTCCTTACATTATATAAGAAGTAAAGGAGGGACGGCCGGTCACGGTAGCTGAGCGGTCTAAGGCATGTACTGTCTTCGCTCGCTTTGAAACCGGGATCGTGGGTTCGAATCCCACTCAGGGCATGGATGTTTAGTTTGTGTGTATGCGTTTTTCTGTGTTTGTGTACAGGTAGAGGCCTTGCGACGAGCTGATCACCCGCCCAAGGAGTCCTACCGAATGTGTAAGATCTAGAAAAACCGAAGTGAACGGAGTTCATGGAGATAGGCCTAGGTCCACTGGGGCTGTAGTGCCAAGGGGGAAAAAAAGAAGGACGAAACACACAGTAATTAATACATGACGCATATTATAACTGTACAAACTTTGTGATGATGGAATATTAATAGCTTATTTTACACACAATATGACGCAAAAAATCTCCGTGGCCTGTAGTCCGCAATCTAACTATACCGATCTAGCAACCGCCGGTTGTCGGTGAAGTTAGTGACAAATTTTGCGGATAGATGGTGTCGCGTGGTCAGCTCAACGGATTCCCACGGCCGTCAATCTCGGGTTTCTAGACCGGAGCCGCTGTTTTCTTGAAATATATCCTCAATTATCGTCAAAAGGCTGAGTGGACCCCGTTCCGGACCCACTACTTCTCAGAAAATCTTGTAGCTCCGAGAATCGAACCCGGGACCTCTAGATCTGTAACCAGGCACTCTGACCACCTGACCACAGAGGCGGTCAGGCAAATGCCGGATTACTGTCTCTAATAAGATACGACTAATTTTCTCAAAATCTTTTTATTTCTTCAATTCTTCTTTCAATTTCTATCGGCCATGTACGAGAATGTAATTACTGATATTCTCAAAATGTAACTCAAAGAAAATCGACTTCCTTTTATCTTTTCTCTTTCCTTTTCTCCTCATTTACGTTTTACTGCTTCTTCACCGAGTTTCTCTCCTTATCCATCAGCGTCCTGGTTCAGTTATTGTGTGTTTGTACCCAGTCTTTTTCATTACGCGTTGCACTGTACATGCAACTTCTGCAGATTTCTTTTGCTGTTGCCATGGCAACGAGAGGCTTCCCTACTGAAAGCATCCCCCCTCTCTTATTCTCTATTCATCTCGAGTGCATTTCCTTCCTTAAGTGTAAAAATCTTTCCATCTCCGAAGTTAGCTGCTCCGCATAGGTGGAGCCCAATGTCCTGCCGGATATGCTCCATTTTATTCTGGTCCTGTTCCCTGTGCGGTCCGCCTCACTCGTGTATCGCACTCCTCAGAGCCCGGATTACAGCATCACATTTCTGTGCATCGCAGTAAATGACGATTCAGGTGACAGACGAGGCGGAAATTATTTCAATTTAATTAAATTTTTAACTGCTTGCTTGCTGAGCTAACAGCTACACGGAATATTACAGGAGAGCACGAAGTAAATACTAATAATTGAATAAGAGTATCATGAATGTGACAGACACAAGACTAATTTTGGAAAGAGCATATTTCGTTAAGGCACTTTGCTACAAGCCGGAAGGTCACGGGTTAGATTCCCAATGAGCTCACTTGATTTTTCAATTGACCTAATCTTTCCAGCCGCACTATGGTCCTTGGATCGACTCAGCATGTAACAGAAATGAGTACCAGGAATATTTCTGGGGGTAAATGGCGGCCGGTGCGTAGGGCTGACAACCTTACCGCCATCTGTGAGCCGATTGTCTAGACAATGTGGGGCTCTCAACGTCTCACAACCCTATGGGCCTTCATGGCCTGTTACAGGGATAGCTTTATATTATTATTATTATTATTATTATTATTATTATTATTGCAGTTGCTGTTTGTATTCGTTCTGGCTCTGTAATTTGCCATTGGCTGTTGAGTTCAGCACGTAAATAAAGAGACAATTGGATTGGATTTCTATTAACACCCAGGATATATTAAATCTGATTTAAGCTCTTGAACACAGCAAGGTTCAGCTGTAACCCTGTACTATTTTATAAGGAATAACATATGTTCGAATCTCGACCGGGGACCAGCTATTCTGAGGTGTTCATGGTTTTCCTCAATTCCTCTTGGCAAATGCCGAAATGGTATCCCTATTAAGCCATGAACGCTTCCTTCCAAATCCCTTTCAAGTCGTCATTCTTCAGTCATTCTCTCATCTATTTCTTTCCGCTTAGTAAGGGTTGGAGTCCAGCTGGGTCCACTCGGCACGGCGGACACTGCCCCGGGTGATTATGATGATGGAGAATTTGGTGGAATGAATATTGACAGGGGAAACCGAAGTACTCGGAGAAAACCTGCCCCAGCGCCACTTTATCCACCACAAATCCCACTTGACCAGACCCGGGATCGAACCCGGGCCGCTGTGATGGGAAGCCAGCGACTAACCGCTAGAGCTATGGCGCTGCCTTTCTCTCATCTATTGCTATATATTCTAGAAACTGAAAAAGTAATAAAATAAAGCCATAAGCAGAGAAGACAACACAGAATTCAATTACAGGTAAGAGATGAAAGATAACGGAGCTTTATAAGTTACAGAAAATATGGTGAAGTTCTACAGGAACTATGAGTAACATGAACATAGAAATTACAACACTGAGACTGTACACCTCGCAAAGCTGATGCATTAATTACAGAGTCATTAAACATAACTGGAGAATTCTCAGAAAGGATATCATAATCTTCACTGGAATTGGCAATACCCATGCAACTAAAATTGTTATGATGCCGATAATTTGGCATGCAAAAGCGTTGCCAGGCAACGACCGCAGAATAAGCAAATATACATCAGCCGTTGCTATGTAACGGTTTCTCAAACAAATATTTTTGAACTGCAAAGATGAAACAGCAGCAGAGGAAAGGTGTATTCTGTGCGGTCCGTTCCAAGATATTATAAGCATTCAATTTAGTCAGTCAGTTAGTGGTTAGATTCAGTAAGTGAAAAGAGTCAATCATTGAAGTGAGACAGTTAAGTTAGTTGGTTGGTGAGTGAGTTAGTGAGTTAGAGGACAGCTGGGATTCAGTTGTTGTGAGCTGTTGCTGCTAGAAGCAGGTAGCTGAGGCAAAGGGCAGTTAGGAAACTAAGAGCAAAGGGATCCTCCACCGTTGAAGCCGTTGCCAAGCAACGACACTGAAAATGTGATTGTGGACAATATATGTGTGTAATAGTGAACTTCAAAGTGTGGTCAAGCGCTGTATCAGAGAATCGGGTCATCAAGAGAAACCCAGTCTATATTCACACTCATACATGTGATAATTATGATAGTAATAATAATTTAATTGTTTATTTATTTGCGTTCTCAGCTCAACAGACAATTGACGATTACATATCATGAATGCATACAACAGTAATAAGGTAACACAAGGACAAAAAGAAGAAGAAAAATCGGTCAGTTAAGTTTATTTGCAGATAAACGTGAGTTTATAAAGTCACAAACTGCATTTGCAGCAGAAACACACGAAGCTGAAGGCAGTGGCTGAAATAACAGCTGAACATGGTGAAGTTACGGATGTTCACAGGAGAGACATGAACACCGAATCTTTTGAAGAGAAAGCGGGACGATATTTAGAGTGAATAAAAACATTTTTCGAAAAAGCGTCAAAGTGACGACACCTGATATGTAGAGCCAGTAAATTTAACTTCTTCAATCAACAGTCATGGTTATATTGCACGCCTTGGAAAAATTCTTGTGACTAAGGACTACAAATACTTTTTGTATGCGTCAAAATATATTAAGTCAATAATAATAATAATAATAATAATAATAATAATAACAATAATATTTAAGTTATCCCTGTAAAAGGGACGCGGAGGCCCATAGCGTTGTGTAAGAGAGAAGACAGAAGAGAGATGAAGTGACAGGAGGTTGCAGAAAACTGCATAATGAGGAGCTTCATAACTTGTACTCTTCTCCAAGTATAATTAGAATGATCAAGTCAAGGAGGATGAGGTAGGAAGGGCATGTAGTACGAATGGGGCGAAGAAGAATGCAATTATAATACTTGTGGGAAAGCCAGAAGGAAATAGACCAAGTAGTATGTGAGCGTATGATATTAAAAAGGATCTTATGGAGATATAATGGGGTGGTATGGACTGGATTGATCTGGCTCAGGATAGAGACCATTGGAGGGCCCTTGAAAACACGGTAATGAGCCTTCTGATTCCATAAAGTGTCCGGGAGCTCTTGAGTAGCTGCACAACTGGTGGTTTCTCAAGAAGGACTCAGATCCATGAAGTTAGTTATAATAATAATTTAATAGTTTTAGTAATAATAAGTAAATACTCTCTCCATATTTCTTTTATTTTAGTGTTTCCTTCGTCATTTTGTTCATTTTCGGTTTATATTTTTGCTCCTATTGTTTCTCTTGTAAATATATCCGTGACGTCACGCAACCACTTTCGTTCCAGGCTAGATCCAAGCTTCCTAAGAAGCGGCGCAGAGTACTTCCGGTAGAGCAACCGCGTCGGAAAAGAGGAGAAGGCGTCATCAATCGACGCATGAACGCCATTAAACATCACCATCCCGCCATCTTCAAGGACGCCTTCGGAAGCGCTAAAATAGGTGATAAGCTCTTGCCTTTCTTTAACATTTGCATCTACTTTTGCAACAATTTTTTGCGATGATGCACACGCGCGTAATCCATTAAATAAAATGTCAATGCGGGTATTTTCGTTTCCTGTCACGTAGACCTGCGCTGAAATGTCGTTTCAATTGATGAATATAATAAAAAACTCAATTCAAACTGACCTATGAAATTTATACGTATATCCTCCTATGCAAGAGATATGCAAGCTGGGCATTTATCGTTTCTATTACGCAATTTCGGGTTGTCATAGCAACGAACTGTATACCGTTAACAGGCTGTATGAACTAAGTTACGTATTAGGTCTGAAAACAAGAGATTAGTGATTTGTTTCAGTGCATCGTATCCATTCTGTAGTGTAGTGTACTGTACTCTGCGATCATTTGTGCGTGTTATTCGTGAGAGATGGCGTTAAACTTCGACATCAGTGCATGTAGGACTACAAATGAATGTGGGAGGAAGGAGAGAAACTTGATAGTACGAAATCTTATACAACAAATGATGAAATTTCCCGGAGAATTGTCAACGGGTGCTATACGTAAGAAAACATACTGTGTCCGAATCATGGTTGAGGTTGTCACTTTCACATTATGACGTAAAGAGTCACATTGTCATTGGAAAGTAACTAGATTATATAAAGAGCACACGACCGAAAAGAAAATCACCATACAGGAGATGTTATTGAAGAGGCAGGGAATTTTCTTCTGTCAGGTTGCCTACACAAGGTATGACATACTCTCAGAAATGTTTTACAAACACAATATCTAATTTCTAAAAAAGGATATTTGTCGAAACGGTTCTAGTCGCTCAGATGTTCAAGAAACTCTCTCTTTCTCTTGTAACCACAGGTCCATCAGAACATTCACAAGAACACACCACTGGACACTATCAGGATGAGGTAAAGGTAAACCTCTTCCCTGTGCTCAACGAATTAAGCACTACATCATGAGGGTGTGTGTGGGAGTGGATATATAAATCCACATTTTCTTAACCTCGGTATAGATGGAGGTGATTGGTCAGCCTCACGCCCCGGCCGCTTTACCCCAGGTACCTATTGGATAGGAGGCACCCAGCCTCCCCAACACCGGTCTTGGCTACCTGGAGAAGAGAAAATTCTTGACCCTAACGAAACTCGAACTCCTATCCCTCGGTCGCCCAGACCGTAGGCAGTCGCTATACCGACTGAGCTATCCCGGCTCCCCACTATCAATATGATGCATGCCTGAATCCATTTCTCTTTTCTCCACCCACGGAGGCATCTACCGTGTGGCCATTTCCCTTTCAGTTTTCTGTTCATATGTCTTATTTATTTCTCATTTTCTTTATGCTCGTGCTACATACACCGTCCATCTCATTCCGCTCGGTGTAATGACCTTGATAGTAGTAGAAATTATGAATGCCACTGTTATGTAATTTTCGTCATCCCAATACTGCTGTAACGGGTCTAGTCCACGCACATCCCTCAGCATTCTGTTCTCAGCCATCATCAATGTTCTTGACAGACAAAATTTCGTGCCCCAGTTTCCAAACTAAAGGAGAGACAGGGAGAGAAGGAAATTGGGGAAGCAGAAAACAATGAATTTTAAGGGGAAGACAAACGTTTACTTGATTTGAAGGTTCCCAGAGAGTGGTCACTCGTCCATCTCTTACAGGTGTATTTGAGCAGGGATAAAACTTTGGGAAGTAAAAATGGTGAGGTGATAGGAAGTTAATTTTATTATGATTAGAGGAAATAAATTTAACGGGTCCTTATGAATACATATTATTGAATATTAACGTTGGAAGGGTTTAATTAGAACTAAATTAAAATATAACATTGGGAAGGCTACATTACTTCGAAATTCTTATGTTAACATTTTGATGGATGCATGTAAACCCTTGAAAACTTTAAAAGTTCCTTATGGTCATCATCTTCATGGACCACTAGTGGAACAAGGTCCTCATGTTGACAGTCTTTCCTTTGTGTCCATTTCCGTCTGCTTTTCTCTTTTCACACAAACAAATTCCTCCGCTAGCCAACCACATTTCAGCTGAGAACAGTTTTCATTACATGCGGACCAATCTCAAACATCGTTTCCAAGGACGCCTCAGTACTCTGTGTGCAGTGCTTGGGTCATGATGAAATGAACGTGGTACAGATACACACTGCATGAGCATACAAAGTGCCTCGGATTTTGCCATTAAGGTTTAAAGTTCTACCATAAAAGGACAAGTGTGCTGACGTCACACATATGGCCACTTATCGCTGCATCATGTAATTTTAAATTGATTAATTGGACAATTTAACTCAAAAGATGCCCAACCCAGTAACTTCCCCAGCCTTCATATTAATATTAATACGACAATAATTATAAAGTAAAAGTATATTCCCTCATATAAATTATTTATTGCAATCCGTTATGTGTTTTAGACGCACTATAGAACAGACACAGAGATGCTTCTACTTACGAGTAAAACGAATTTCAGCAAAGGAAGTTTTTCGTAATGTACGGAAGGAAATTGGTCTTCCAAACAATAAGATCGCGGGTTCGAATTCATTTCGGATATTATGTCCTGTGATATTAAGCCTCATAATTTGTTAGAATGTGACGAGTGTTTCGCAGGAACCTGCCGCTTGCGTCTGCAGGATATAAACTTATGGAATTTGGATAAATTTGAGGGGGTTTGAGCATTGGAAGATATCGGATCGTAAAAGGACAGCGCCGATAATTTTTCCCACCTCTCTATAGACGCCCGGGTTACATAATTTCACCTTTACGGATATCATAAAACATGCCCATAAGGATCAAGATACGAATCACAAATTCTCTTACTGATATTTGGGATAAATATTACTTTTCAAATATAAAATGCAAAGCAACAACATAACCAAAATAATTTTAAATAAATGATTTGTTAAGCAAATGAAGTTTCGTTAGAGCATGCTTCAGTGAGGTAGTAGAATATGTAGATGGTTATTGGCCAGCTTCTGCGCATGCGTCGGTGACCGTGAAATGACTTTTGCATGGTTGCTGTTCCCATCTTACTGTAAGGTGAGCAGAGTTTGCCCATTTTTAGGATGTCGTAAAGATATCACGAAGTTCAAGGACAATTAGTGCACAAAAGCGGCCACGAGAAAGAAATTACATTTAACGTAAAACTTGTCTGTATCACAAAGGCTGAGAGAAAAGATTTCCCTCAGGAAGACATCCTCATTTTTAATTTGGATATAAACAGACAAAAAACAGGGGTTGCATTGCTGTTTTAAAGATAGGGACACATTCAGATGAACGCATTCCTTCTGTAACTCTGAAATTTATGGCTAGTTCTTCCAAGTTGTATTTTCCTTTCGGGTTGTACGACTAAAATTCGTTCAAATACAAGGGTTGGATAAAAAGTAGTGGTAACACTGCTTTAACATGAAATATGTGCGTCAGGTGGCACTAGCGCCGTCTGTAGCTGGTAGCAGAAGTTCAGTTGAAGTAGTGCAGTGAGTGGCTCTGGTTGTGTTTCATTGAGTTGCATTGTGCATCGTCTTGAAGTGCAGGAGCCCAGTTCATGCACCCTAAGAACATGTTTACGAAACAAGAACAACGCTTCTGGATAAAAATTGAAGTTGCACGAGGTCATAGTGCACAAAACTGTCATCAGGGGCTGCGAGAAGCAAGTGGTGATACTGCTTTGCCATATCGCACAGTGGCACGGTGGGTGAAATTGTTCCGTAAAGGGAGGGATGCCGTTCAGGACGACCCCATGTTGACAAACATACAATTCAGCTTCTTGCTTCTTTGCTGGATGTCGATTGTCGATGGGCTGTATGGGAGTTAGCTGCTGAGGTAGGCGTATGTCACAAAACCGTGCTCCACATTCTGCACGATATTCTTGGATACCGCAAAAAAAAAAAACAGCATGTTGGGTACCCCATACAATGTCCAAGGTGCAACAGTGGGAACGTTATGCAATTGCACAGGACTTGTTGGACCGGTACCAGAAGGAAGGAGAAGACTTCCTTGGAAGGATCGTCACTCTGGACGAAACTTGGGCTCACTCATACGAACCGCACTTGAAGCGACAATCAATGAATGGAAGCATCCTGGCTCTCCTCGTCCAAAGAAAATGCGCCTTACACAGGGTAATGTCGAGGCAAAGTTCATTGCGGCATATGACACTGATGGAGAGATACTGCACCACACTGTACCTCAACGACAGAGAGTAAACGTTTCCTACTACTGCAATTTTCTGCGTAATCATCTTCGTCCAGCACTCAGGAGAAAACGACGACACTTTTTGGCAATGAACCTCATCATCCTTCATAACAATGCAAGGGCTCATACTGCTGACGTCAAGGATCTCCTTCGCCGTTAGCGATGGGAGATACTGCAACATCCTCCATACTCACCCGATATGAGTCCGTGCGATTATGATCTCTTTGCCAAATGAAAGAACCACTGCGAGGGACAGGTTACAACACAAGATAGGAGATTATTCATGCTGTAGGGCGGTCACTGCTTGACATCAACAGAAGTGGACTCACTGATGGTGTACCTCAGGTAATAAAGTAATTTCAGAACTGTAGAGGCGTTGCCACTACTTTTTATCCAACCCATGTATATCGTCTCTGATGCACCTGCTACACGTCTAACTCATTTTATCGTCATTAATTTAATTACCTATTATGTAAATGATATAATTTATGAAGCTACTCAGTAACCATGTGTTTTTTCCTTCTCTCTCTTCGTCTTCTTTAATCCAACGTTTCTTCCTTGTCTACTTTTCACAGTGAGAATTTAGTAACTTCACCTGCTGTGAAATGGGACTCACATATCTCACGTTTTACAAAACTCTGAATGTATGGATCTGGATCCTCAGATAATCCATAACTAAATAACACAGGTTTCATCCAGAATCTTTACAGAAATATGCAGATATTTTAGTGCTGAAATGTGTTTCTTGGTATGTAAAGAAATAATTAATAGGGAATCTTCAATGTAGGAGATAG